TTTTGCTTATTTTCTTCAATCTCACCAACCTACATCACAATATCAAAATCACACATCTAATTATTTATCAATTACATAAACATTACATCATTAATTATCTATAGGGTGTCTGTTTATGCTTTTCAGCAGAAATCAAGCCGTTGGCAACACAATTCATGCAATTGGGAGCCGCAATTTTGGACAAATTCTCTCACCGTAGGGCTGTAGGTTTGAAAAAAAAAAGGTAACATAATCAATTTTCCTCAATCGAATATCGGAATACAAAGTCATGATAAAAACACTGAATGAAGGTGCAGCTGCCTGTTTAAAACAAGAAATTCCGTTACATAATCCGTTAAAACAACAAATTCCGTTAGTTTTTCCGTTAAATCAACAAATTCCGTTAAATAGACACTTTTTATATATAGAAAGTGAAAATGAATATAATTTAATTTTCAATTAAGTGAAATTGAATACTAATTAGTATACATGAACATAAATAATGAAATGAATTATTTAATTCGAAATTCTAATTAATATTAATTAAATGAATGAAAATGTTTATTAATTGTAATATTTATTATAGTTTGTAAGTTAAATGTATATTGAAAAATGAAAAATAATGTATTATTCAAATAATTAAATTGTATTAGAGTCATAATTGTTCAAAAAATGATTCTTACTTGATGTGATATTTAATATATTATAGATTAGCTTTCCTCCAAATTATTACTTTGAATGTGTTTAATTATAGAAAATAAGTTAAAGAACCAAATTCACTTTCTAAAATAAAATATTAATTTAAATAATCTGTTGGATTATAATTTTAAATACTGACTAGTATTTTTTGTTTAAAGAATCTTTTGAAACCCCTCTAAATAATTTTAAACGCAAGCACGATTTTTGCCCATTTACAAAATTTATGAAACAACTCTTAGAAGCTGACTAACGCTTTTAGGTCTTTAGACAGACGGTCGGGAGAGATCGGCCAGGATGGGTTTTACTAAGCAGCCACTGTAATCCGGTCCTCCGCCTTTCCGCTCCTCCACGCTTATTCCGCCACGAACAATGGCAGCACCACCACAGCTAATCAGGCGATAGACTGTCGGAATCTGAGCTACTCAATCACCACTCGGCATGGAAAAGTTGTTCCCATACTTAACGATTGCTCGCTCAGCATCCCCTCTGGACAGTTCTGGATGCTTCTTGGCCCTAATGGCTGCGGAAAATCCACCCTCCTCAAAGTATATATGTACATTCTATATACTTCTAGTTTCAATTCTAGCTGTTAATCCACAGAAAATTCACATTATTTCCAATTTGAAGCATAGATACAAAACTTTGGGTGTTGCAGGATTGTTCATTGATTGCTTGTACCTTTCTCTGGGTGAGAGAGTGCCTTCTTTATTTTTGCTATATTTTTATATTTTTGTTTGTGGTTTTTGGAGTTGTACAGATTTTGGCTGGTTTACTGAATCCAAATGGCGGGTTTTTGCGTGTTGAAAAGCCTAGGAGTTTCGTATTTCAGAACCCTGATCATCAGGTTATCTTTTTCTTAATTTTACCTATTATTTGTTTTTCTGATTCTTTTATTCACTCATCTATGGATTCTAAAATGTGTGGATTGTTACACACTTGCTCACATAAATTTTGGGCATTCTATGTCATGCATATTAAACTCCGTCGAGGTATTGAATAGGTAACTGTGATTTTCAGTCAAGTAAAAAAATTTGATTGTACTAAGAATTATAGTGAAGTAAGTTAACCTGTAGGCTGTAATTTCCATAACGTGACTGCATAATTAGTATTAGGTATTGGGACATGAAATTAGGATACCTGTGCCTCGTCATAATGTCGAAATCATGTTGACATGGATTATTATTCTAATGATCCTTTTCATGATTTTATAACTTTGATACGTAGACTAGTCTAGCATTATCTTTCTGATTATTGGCTATTGTGATAGTTAATATTGAGCTGAATTTTCACTTTTCAAGATTATTGGATATGTTGTTGGATAGAATGGTTAGGTTAGAAACAGTAAGCATCTGTGGAAACTTTGATTTTTGAACAGACTGTACCTATGGCTATAAAAAGATAAGACTGGTGAATGTTAAAAAGGAACAGGAAAAGGAAACACAGCACATTTACACATGTATCTAAATCACACTGTGTTACTTATATAAAGAAGGCTGATTATGTTTTAATGTCTTATAGTGATGAAAAACTGGGAAAGACTATCTTTCAATGGTGAACTTTTGGATGGGGGTTCAGAAAATATGTTTTCCTATTATAGCATATGTGTGGAATGCTACGTTTTATCATATCATCACACTGAACGATATTTTGGGTTAGACACTAATGTTTACTAGGATTAAACTGTAGGATACGTGACTTTTCAATTTCCAGGTGGTGATGCCCACGGTGGAAGCAGATGTAGCATTTGGCCTTGGCAAGTGCAATATAAGCCGTGAAGAGGTTACGTGTAGAGTGGCTAAAGCTTTGGATGCTGTAGGCATGTATGAATATTTGCAAGTACGTTAACAACATATACTACTTATAGATTTATAAGGTGTGTCATGAATTTAATATTGCTCTTACATTCATCCTTTGTTCCTTGCTTAGAGACCGGTTCAAACTCTTAGTGGTGGTCAGAAACAAAGGGTTGCTATTGCTGGTGCTTTGGCAGAAGCTTGCAAAGTATTGTTACTAGATGAACTCACAACGTTTTTGGATGAAAATGATCAGGTATTACAAATTTACTTTTGAGTTTTCTGGACAGAATTTCTTGACCAAGAAAAGGTAATGAAGTATGTCCTGACTCGATTTTGTGGGTTGGGGGAGGGGCAAGGTGATTTGCTGATTCGAATTGATTTCTTAACATGTACTGAGACACTAGTTAACCTAAATTCTGTCTGCATTACATTTAATTGTTTTTCGACTTTTACACGAAAGAATGAGGTAAATTTATTTGTGTTTAGTAAATATTTTAATGATTTTGTGGGAAAATAGGAGATGGACCACCTTGTGTGGTTCCTGGATCTTGATTTATTAGAGTTGAGGATATGTTTGGAGGTTGAACATATATATCAAATATGATATTCTTGAAATGTGTGGAAGGAAACCAGTAGAATAGGTGAACATGAACAATTTGTATGGTTGGAATGTTGGACGTGCAGCTCAAAGTAATGCTTCCTTTGTGTTTATCCCAAAGTATATTCCCATAATACATGTGGATTTAAGAACATAAAGCATCTTGATCAATACATGGAATTAAGTTGCAAATTCCAAAAAGTAAAATCTCAAGAAAAAGGGGAAAATGATTTTAATGATCCTAAATGCTGTTGTTAACTCTTGGAAAAAAAAAAAGAAGAAAAAGAAAAAAATGAATATAATTGAATGCACAACAACATAAAATATCTTGATCAATACATGGAATCAAGTTGCACATTCTCGAAAGGTAAAATCTCAAGAGAAGGGGTTTAATGATCCTAAAAGCTGTTGTTAACTCTGTAAAAATGAGATAGAAAAATATAATTGAATGCACAACATTACTGGTCTTTCTAGTGTTGTTAAAGAAATCGCCCCAAGAAAAGAATGTTTGATGAGCGGCATGAACTCAGGTTTTCTCTTCATTGAGGCTACGATGTTGGTCAACTGTTCAAATATTACATACTCATTTTAGTGAAAGGCCTACGCACCAGGAAATGGATGCAACTATACTAGGATGAATGTAGCTATCCAAGACATAGCCAAAGAACTAGGTTCAATCCAATTTCATGATCGTGGATGACATGCATTGGCAATTTTACTTGTTATTAATTTAGCTAGGTGGTAAATATATGATTGCTTCTATCTCCTCCTAGTTTCTTCCATTTTTTGCTTCTCATTAATTAATTTATTATTGTTTATTTTTTCTGCGATTGGGTGGGAGCATTGAGGGGGTGTTCTGAAATCTGCAAATAACATGTATATTGAAGCTTCATAACACATTCAGGAGCTTACAATGTCGTTGTGCTTTAACAATCCCCCACCAAACACACACAAGAAAATAGGAAAGGAAGAGTTTTTTTTTTTTTTGGTTTTTTTTTTGTGATTCAAAGTTTCTTAACTTGAGATACGTTGTGCGCTTCTGAACAAGATTATTTGCGACCTTGTGTTAGCTTGGGGTTATTGAAGCAGTGAAGAGCTCTTTGGCTACATCCCAAGAAACTACAGCATTATGGGTGACCCATCGTTTGGAAGAACTCGATTATGCAGATGGTGCTGTCTACATGGAGGACGGCAGAGTTGTATTACATGGTGATGCTTCAAGTGTATTGGATTTTGTGGAAGCCAGGCAAGCCTCTTATAATAACCAAAGCAATTCTTGATTACTTTTACATTTTTTAAGAACAATTTCCTGATCTATTCTTGTATAAGATGGATACTCCAAATAGAAATTTGCTCCTGTTCCTTGCTTCAAGCATATATTTTGAATTTATGTCATGTATATTCATTGGTATTCTAAATTTCTTTTTATCGTTTTCTTCATTTCGTAGCTCACATCTTTAGTCCATAGGTTATTACTTGGAGTAAGAACTTTAATACACCCAATGTTCGTTATTGCAGTGTTTCATCTTATTTGAGTATGGTAATTGTCTGCATCTTCATTAATTGCCATATTTTTCATTAACGCTAAGAAGAGAATATGAATATCTTAAACTAATATGACCTGCAAATAGGGCTGTTGATAAATTGCATTAGGGGAAATAATTGCCATTTTTTTCCTTCCCGCTAAGATGAGAATATGAATATCTTAAACTAATATGACCTGCAAATAGGGCTGTTGATAAATTGCATTAGGGGAAAATTAGGGATTGGCATTCCAACCTTTCAGGTACGAAGTTTGGGCCTTTAACCTTAAAAGTTAAGTTTTGAATCCCTAGCTTGTTTAAAATTGTGAATTCGAGTATTGAAGTAATCACGATGGATTGTCAACGTGGACGTTAAAATTGAATGTCACTTAAAACTGAACATTTAAGTGATTTAAAATTTTGCCCTCCCATTTTAAGTCAAGTAGAAGTTGATTTAACGTCTATATTGACTGCTTCCATCATATCATTTAAACAGTTAGGGATCCAGAATTTTACTTTTGAAGGTTGAGGATTCAATGCTACATTAATTTAAAGCTAGGGACTCTTAACACTAAGTTGCTCTTGAATTAGACGAGATTGAATACTTTCAACTTACAAAACATGTAACGATGCTATATATACACTATATTGCATTATTAAAATTTAAGCAACTTAGTCTTGATATTTGATTACATTTACCCTGTTTGATAGGGATTGAAATTTATATTTTAATTTAAGTCAAAGTTAATAGTTAATTTTAATAACGTACTTTGCTCATGTTTGGTGGCCATTTTTTTTTTTTTAAATATTTTTTTGAATAATGAAATTTTTAGAGAATGTGTATTTAAAAGTAGGAAAAAGTTTTGGGTTTATGTGTAAAATATTTTATTGTGTGAATGTAATTGAAATTGAGTATGTAGAAAAAAGAGTGTTGAAATAATCGGAAACAAGCACGAGGCTTTCTTAGATCCAATTTTTTAACCACATGTTTTATGAAAATTTATTAAAAATCTGATTTTAATTTCTACTAATCAGGGCTTAATCTTCAAATCATTTTTAATTTAACTCAAATACGTTTGAACTAATATATTGAAAGTATAAATTAACTATACATGCTAACAATTCGAATGATTTTTCAATAAATATCTAACACCAAAATTAAGTAATATCTTAAAAGAGAAAAAAAATAAAAATTGAGTCCACACAATCAAACTTGTTCCAGCATTTTTATGCTGATTGGATCATCCATAAAAGCGCACATACATTATTATTTAGAACCAAACCAAAGTTAGGAGAATGTCGAACTAAAAGGGCAATTTTCAAGGAATGCAACCCTGATGCAAATTAATTACCAATGTCAAATAAATTAGGGTAATGTTACTTGCAGTCGCTCACTGCAGCAGTCGTCCGATGTGGCACACACATGACATGTAGTTATTTGATGTATTAATGTGATAGTTTTTAAATACACACTTGACATGTGTATGCCTCATAGGGCGACTGCTGCAATGAGCGACTGCAAGTAGCAATATTCAATAAATTACTACCTTATCATTTTAACGTGCAAAAAAATCCTCTTGTACAGTGTTTAGAGGGCTGTATATTTTACAGCCTTTCCTAATTAGTGTGGGCTCCACAAATTAATTAATTAGAGTGAGCTGTAAAATTAACGTGTAAAATTAGTTTGTGAGTCCTACACTAATTAGAGAGGGCTGTAAAATTTACAACCTTCTAAACACTGTACATGTAGTGCAGTTCTTTAACGTCCAATGCTGAAGCGTTTATTAGTCTGTGTGAGTTAAAATAAACACATTGAAACAATTTTTCGCACACCTATAAGAAATCAAAAAAGAAAAAAAAAATGAAATAAACGTTATATTTGTATATAAAGGAAAAAAAATACATATATTTACAAGGAAAAAATATATATAAATACCTATAAGTATTTCTATGAAGTCTGTCATGATTTAAAAAAACGTATAGTTTATGCCCTCGATCAGCAATCATTCAATGAAAAGAATGCTCGAGTTTCTTCACTAAGAGCAAAAGTTTTTGTTAACCCTCGAAATAAAACCCACGAACCCGTGGATCCATTGACGAGGGGAGTGAAGAGAACAGGGGGCTCACATAAAGATCTCAAATCAAGGAGCACTTGGGTAAGTGAATAAAGTGTGACTCAACGAAAATGACCAAACTACCTCAATGCCCGGGGGAAATCTACAAATACCCCTGCAATTGAAGAATAAGGCACGCAATTTAGGGAGAAGCTTTGAGTAGATAAGACGGTATATGAGAAGGTTCCCTTTCTTCGAATCTGAGGAGGATAAGGGAGACTTTCCATGCTAATGACACAGAAGAATCTCGCAATAGTTTATACCTAATTTACCATTATCGTACGCAAATATCAATCCTCCTATGGATGCAACCATTACTTTTACTACGACATACCATGCTAATTTTCCAAGGGTACTTAGTACGATTACCACCGTCACCGTCGAAAACTAACGCCACCAATCTGAGAATGCACAAGGCAGAACAAGAGAACAAAGATTTATGGAAGCAAAGAAGATATTATTTTTTTTTCTTTTTAAATTTAAAAAATTACCTCAATTCCTACATTATAAGTTGAAATTTCAAAAATCAGTTATAATTTTTTTCTTCAGTAATCTGATAAAAATTATTTAAAAATTTACATACCATTTCTCTCTCTATGATTTCTCTATCTATTCTCTCTCTACTCTACCTCCATCCTTTCCATATCCACCTTCAAACTTCCACCACCGGCGGTTTCACGACCGTCACCACATCTATTTTTTGATTTGTTCAATTATCTTTTAGATGAATTGCTTCTTAGCATTCTTTTTATTTTTTTTACATGGCATTTTAGTATGTAACGAATCATTATACCAAGGTTATTATTATTTTTATTATTTTTCTGGTTTGCTTAACTTAGGATTAGAAACTTATTAAATGTTGTCTGTTTACCTTTTTTATATATTTTTTACACATTTTTAGTTTTTTCAACTCAACTGTTTTTTAGCCTCCTATTAACCGATTTAGACATTTAAGAATTGTTTGAGCCTCATTTTTTGGAGAATAATTTTTTTATAGTGATTTTCTTTTTTGGAAAAAATGATTAAAAAGTAAGAAAAAAAATTTGAATTTAAGAGTGAAATTATTTTATCTGGAAAATGTGTTGTTGAAAATGAGTTTTTTAAAAAAGTGGCTCAAAGAATGACTTAAGTAACAAATAAGTATTAACTATTTTTTTTTTCTTCGTAGCTTCCTTTATATGGTATTTAATTTTGACTACTATGTTTTTTTTTGGAGCATATTGTTTTATTGCCTAATTAACTTACTCGTGAATTTATTAACTATAATTTAACAAAAAAATTACTCTACTCGTTTTGATAGGTTGCACAAATTTCATACTCAATTTTATGTCGCTCTTAGGATATATATTCAATTAACAAGTACTTTGTTGTTAAATGCTAATTTCTATTGAGACAATGATTTTAATTTAAATCAGTTTTTGGGAGTGTCGTTGCCTTTCAGGCTTATTAATTCTAGGAAAAGTCTAGATGTACAAAATATACTACAGAATTTCCTACAGCCTGATGACATGGCGCCAATGTTTGAAAAAGTCAATATCCCGACTGTGGGAAAAAAAGTCTAGTAAGAAAAGTGAAAAACCAAAAAAGTGGAAAACAAAAAGGACAAAATAGAAGACAAAATGCACATTTCTTACAGAGTTTCTCAAGCCATTTCACTAGGGATGGCAAAAATACCCAACAAACCCGATACTCGCGGGGCCCCTCCCCGAACGAGGAGGGGACGAGGACGGGTAAAGGGGGCCCCGCCCAGTTAAATTTTTATTTTTTTTAGAATTCAATACTTTGAATGAAAATTTTCATTAGTTCTAATAGAAAATAGCAACTAAAATTATTTGTTTAAATCTAATGAATATGGGCAATAAAAATAAATTATATATATATAAAAAAAAATTTTAAACGGGAAAAGGTCCCGCCTCGACCCCGACCCGTCCCGCCTTGCCTTAAACGGGTAACGGGGCGGGTAGGGATGGCAAGAAAACTCGCCGGTTTGGGCGGCTTCGGCTCGAGCTCGGCTAGGGCCAGGAAAATGCCCGAGCTGGGCCCAGCTCAGGCCGAGCCCCATTTTGGGGGGTCGGGTCAGCCGGGCCGGCCCTTGTGGACCGTAATTAATAAAAAAATTAAAATTAATTAAAAAAATTTTAAAGCTGCCTACTGGCAGCTAAGGAAGGAAAAAAAAAATTGAGCCAACTCGGGCTAGAAAAAAGCTCAGCCAAAAAAGCTTGAGCCGAGCCCGAGCTTTGTTTTTTTCCAGTTCGAATTCGGCTCGTTGACATAGCTATGGGTGGGGACGGGACGGGACGGGACGGGATGGGGCGGGGTCCCTCCCCCCGCCCCTCCCCGTTGCCATCCCTAATTTCGAGGAACCTTGGAAATGGCAGCCGAAAACTGAAATGGATTCATGGCAAAACCTATTCGACGATGTTGACAACTTCGACTTCGGCATCGATAGGAGGTTGAGCCTGAACCAAACGACGTTATCTCCATCTTTCGCAGTCGGAAATGAGCGATTTTATGTTGAACCCGTCGAGAAAATCGAAGCTGATAACTCCCAGGCCGACAACCTCAACGCCGACGACGGCATGGGTAAGATTTTTTTGAACCTAATTTTCAACTTCCATTTTTTTATTTTTATAATTTTGCACT